TCATCATCATCATCATCATTAATTGCTGCCCCTCCACTCTCTGGACTGGACTAGAGGAAGGGGCTCCCTCAGGATTGGGGACCAGTTGTTTGTTGTTGTTGTTATGGGTGGCCTTGCTAAGTTCTTTCCACCTTATGGCAACCCTACGGCAAACCTATCCTGGGGTTTTCCCGACAAGATTGGTTCACAGGGGGTTTGCCACGGCCATCCTCTGAGGCTGAGAGAGTGTGACTCATCCAAGGTCACTCAGTGGGTTTCATGGCTGAGCTGAGAATCAAACCCTGGTCTTCAGAGGCATATAGTCCAACACTCAAACCACTGTGCCACACTGGCTCTATTACTACTACTACTATTATTATTATCTACTTATACCCCACCTCTCTCCCAATATAGGGATTCAATGCGGCACATTTAAAAACAATACAATTTAAAAACAATACAAAAGCATTACAAATTATAAATAAAAAATAAAAAAACAATTAAACAGTGAGGACATAGACACAGTGCAACACTTACACTTATACTGGCTGTTTGTGCATGTGTTTTCTGTGCCTTCAAATCATTTCCAACTTATGGTGACTATAAGGCAAACCTATCGGGGTTTTATAGGCAAGATTTGTTCAGAGGAGGTTTGCCATGGCCTTCCCCTGAGGCTGAGAGAGTGTGACTTGCCCAAGGTCACAGCCAAGCTGGGATTCAAACTCCTTCTCAAAATCTACTTTGCCCAACCGATATGCTCCCTGTTCTTGGCTTATCTTGCACAACCTCCCTTTTAGAAGAAAAGCTCTGCCTGGGGCAAAGCATAAAACAGCTTTGCATGTGTGTATGTGTGTGAAAAATTAATTATTCTTTGTCACGCATGTCTCAGCTTCGGTATATTTCTCTCCAGGGCTGTGGAGAAAATTCTGAGTGGTGCCAATTGGCAAAGTTGCTGCGCAAGGCATGCATTTTCTGGAAATTTGGGAGAGGCCTTCATGGCAGGAGGCACCTCAAGAGAATGGAGGAGCCAGAAAGGCTTCCAGAGCAAGGAACCGAACTCAGAGCCGACTTGGAGGTCAAGCCAGTTGCCCTCCAGGAGAAAAGAGGGAAGGTACACCGAGGGAACTTCATATAGAGTTGCTATATCCCAGGCCCTTATTATATTTGGGCATGCAATTTGCATAATATGCAAAAAAATATTGGAGAAATGGAAGCTAAGAGAGTGGCACAGGAGACCCAGGGACCTTGCACTGGCATTCAAATTAATAATATATTAAGCATATTATTAATAAATTAATAATAATATTGAGCATATTATTAATTTGCATTCCAGTGCAAGGTCCTGAGGTCCCCTGTGCAACTCTCTTAGCTTCCATTTCCCTGACACTATTTTTTGGGTTTTGGAGCAGTTTCCTAGCTTTTGCAAGTGCTTTTCTCCATTGCAACAAGCCAAGGAGTTTGAGTGTAGGACTCTGGCTCTGGAGGCCAGAGTTCAATTCCCAGGTTGGCCATGAAACCCACTGGATGACCTTCGGCAAGTCACACTCTCTCAGCCTCAGGGGAAGGCAATGGCAAACCTCCTCTGCAGAAACTTGCCAAGAAAACCCTATGATAGGTTTGCCTTAAGGTTGCCATAAGTTGGAAACCACTTGAAGACACACAACAACAACAATGTACACCCTGAAAAGCCTCTCTCTGGGCAGTTATTGGCAATAAAGGCTGTAAGCTTAAATATGCTGTTATTTTTGGACCCAACACTTTTGCTTTTTCCTCTGTCTAATTATTATTATTATCATAATAATAATAATAAAAAGATTATATCACTCGCGGCATAGACTTGTATTGCAATTTTATTATTGTTTTAATTATTGCTGTTATTTTATTGTTTTTACTGCTGGGTTTATTGTTCATTACTGTTCTTTTTATTACTGTTGTGGTTTTATTGTTATGTTTTCTTTCTTTATTGATTGAATTACTGTACATTTTGTACATTTTATCCTTGTACTCCCGCCTCGATCCGTAGGGAGAGGTGGGAAATATAAATAAATTATATCATCATCATCATCATCATCATCATCTTATATCCTGCCTTTCTCCCAATATGGAGAGCCAAGGTGGCGAACAACAACTTAATACAATTTAAAAACAGTACAACATTAAAATATAATATATAAATATAAAAATTACAAAAAAAACACACAAATCATTTAAAGAGTTAAAACAATTAGGAATTAAAATGTAACAAACCTTAAAAGTGAAATTATCCATCAGTCCACAGTGCTCTAATCACTGCGACACACAAGATTTTTTAGAAGAATGAATAGATTTCCCTTTCCAGCAAACTAGAGATAAAAACGGCTAAGTGATCTTTGCACAAAGCCGAACTTCCTCCAAGACAAAACTGTCATCAAGTTGATCTGGAGGATAACTCTGCCCTGAAACCCACGAGGAAAAACACGAACTGCATATTGAGACATGTCCCCCCTTGCCAAACCCTGAAGCTATGAACTCTTCCAAACTCTTGAGTTTCCAAACACAGAAGTGAGACTAATCCTTGAACCATTTAGCATGGAGTTCTGTGTTTTGTTGTGTTGTGTTTTCTTTTAAAGACAGTCAGTTTTGAGGTTTGTTTTATACGGCAGCCTTCCTTCTGTCTGTAGCCCAATAAAGGACCATCTGTTTTGCACGCAGAAGGTCCTGTGCTCATTCCCAGCCATCTCCAGCGCCAGGTTTCAGCTAGCAAGTGGTAGGAAAGACTCTTCCCTGTCCAAAACCTTGGAGAGAAATAGTTCGAGCCAAATGGCAAAATATTCTCTCCATCCTTCCACAAATACATCTGGCGTGGGAACGCAGGACAGGGCCTTCTTTGTGGTTGCTCCAAGGGTCCCTTCCTAGGGAAGCTGTTGGGGATAATGGAAGTTGGAAGATTTTTGCATTCTCTTCCTCCTCCCTCCTTATATAGATAGGGAGTTCCTGCATGCAAACTCTCTCTCTCTCTCTCTTTTTCTTCTCATTCAAACTAACAATTTTTTCCCCCTCAACTGTTGGGCCCTCCATCTTCCTCCTCTCTCACCTTTCTTTGGCAAAAGGGTGAGATAAATATTTCTTCTTAACCTGGACTATTCACTAGCTAGATTAGGATACAGCCTCTATGTCAATATAGATTAAAGCCATTAGTAAACTTTTGTTTAAACTGCAAGTTCCATTTGTTGTTGTTCTTAGTCTCAGCTCTTAGAGAAGCATAGTTAGACAAGAACACGTTTCTGCTCCGCTGCTGATTTAAAGCTAGACCCTAACAAACTTGGCTTTGACATTTTTGATGTTTCAGTATTATTGTTTCCTAAGGAAAGCTTAGGTAGCCCTACACATCCCAGTACATTTGGAGGGTTCTAGCAATCTGTGTATAGGGCATCTGTAGGAGGATGGGAGCCACCTTAGCCCCCAAAGAGACCTCTCCAGCCCAAACTGCCAAGAGTTGTTTGCCTCCCATCCCTCCCTGGCATTTGCTAAGATGGGTGAGACTTTCATGTTTTGGCAGGTTTTTCAGGATGGGCCTCAATTTGCTATTTTCTGCCTTTCTCTCATCCAGTTACTTACTAGTTGATAGATGCGGTAGGGCTGAGTTCAGATTTCGCTGATGATCTGAGATGGCTCCTGCTGCGCTTGTAAGGTTCATTGCACTCTTGAGAAAGGGGAGATGAAAAAGAAATTGACAGGTATACCCTATTTCATATGTGGGGAACAGCCTTTAGTCATCTCAGGAAGGTTGTGTAGTCCTTGCTACGGCGCGGAGGTTCACACATACCACTCAAGTGGTAGCTTGTATGTGTCAATGACACAACACAGATGAGTTATTAGAAAGAAATCATCATCTTTAGGGTGGTTGCTGATGTGTACCTTCAAGCCGTTTCCAACTTATGGCAACCCTATTGTGGAGCTTTCTTGGTAGGTTTCTTTGGAAAGGGTTTGCCCTTGCCATCCTTTGAGGCTGAGACAGTGTGGCTCGCCCAAGATCACCCAGTGGCTTTCCATGGCTGAGCAGGAATTCGAACTCTGGTCTCCAGAGTCACAGACCAACATTCAAACCATACCACCATGCCGGCTCAGAAATTCTACCATTGTTGAAACACTGCCTCCACCTAGTGCTTGCAATGTAGTTTTGCAGTATACTTTGCTCTTCTGAGTTCCTCGCTTGCTTATGGATGAATATCCTATAGTTTATTCCAGCATCTGACAAGTGCAGGTCCACAATGCTGGATGGTGGAAGTTCTACTGAGCTGTCACAGTTAGGTCCAGACCAAGGTATTTTGATACCTGAGAAAAAGAAGAAGGCAGCACCCCTTTGGCACATAGAAACTCTGAACCTTCTTTCAACCCAGGCAATGGGATAGGATCAGTATTATCAGCATTAGTACAATTAGTATACTTACTGGTGCTTATTGTTATTAGTACTAGAATTTTAATTACATTATTACAATTATTAACACAATTAATATACTTATTAGTGTATTTATTATCATCATTGTTA